CCCTGGGGGCTGCGGGGAAGGAGGTGAGGGCTGTGTTAACGTGCCGGGAGCAGCGGAGCAGGTGCTGGGGGCTGTGGTGAGGCCCTCAAGGCAGAGAGGAGGAGGAGGATGGGGGGCTCTGGGATGGGGCTGAAAGCGCTGAGGGGGAACTGGAGCTGCTGCATTTCGTAAAGTGCATCCTGGAGAAGTATGAGGTACTGAGGGACAGGGGGTGGAAGATGGGGGTCACCCTGTGCCCCTGCTTTAAACAGCTCGGTGCTCCACCTGGACAGGCACTGATCCCACCTCTGCTCGGCTTTTTCCTTGGAATTTCAAATGGGATTTCCGAAAATCAGCACCAAAGAGCCAGGCCAGCACCTGTAGTTGTTGATTTAGTTTGGAAGAACAGGGAGCATTGACTCCCTCTCTTCATCCTTCTTCAGCATAATGGTTCCAAAGCTTGATTTCTGTAACTAGAGATGTGTTATTTTATTGGGAATAAAAACTATTCTACCTTTTTTCAAGGATTCTGGTGGACAGTGCCTCACCCAAGCCATGGCCACACGCCTCAGATCGGTGAGTTGGGGCCTCAAGTGGTGCTTGGGGAAGTTTTGTCTTGCAGAAACAAATTCATAAATATTCTGCACATCACTAGGGAAGACATGAGGCTGCTTCTGCATTAATGATAATTCTGGGGAGAAAACATGATTTTCCAAGATTTAATTTGGGTAGGTTGAATTCATACCTTAAAATCAATATAGACACGTAGCTTGGCTTGCCGTAAATATTATGCTGTGCAATATCAAATTATAGAGAGTTTATAATAAAATTATATATATTGTGGCTACCTCTGGATCCCTGGAAGTGTCCAAGGCCAGGTTGGATGGGGCTTGGAGCACCCTGGGGTAGTGGAAGTGTCCCTGTGGACACTGAAGGGAGGAGGGGGAAACCCAGGAATAAAATGAGCTTTAAAATCCCCCCCGAGCCAAACCAGTCTGTGATCCTGGGATTCCTTTGCAGCCTCTGCAGTGCTCTGTGGCTCAGAGGCAGAGGGCAGCATTCTGCTGCACTAAAACTTCACTTCAGGCACATCTCAGAGCAGTTTGGGTGCTCTTGGCTCCTGGAGAGTGCCCGGCAATCAGGGAATGCCAAAACGGTGTGGGGTGGAAGGGACCTCATGGGAACGGGTGCAGGGAGAAGGGAAATGTCCGTGGGAGGGAGTGGCTGCCTTTGAGGAGAGGCTGAAACAGTTTCTGTCCCCTCAGCAGCTGTTCCCCCTCTGACTGAATCCCCTCATCTTCTCCAAACCACATCTGTTCATTGGCTGAACACTTCCAGGGCTGGGGACTCCAAACCTCCCTGGACAGCTGTGCCAGGGCTGGGCCCCTCTTTCAGTGCAGGAATGTCCCCAATGCCACCCTGAGCTCCCCTTGGGGCCGTTCCCTCTGCTCCTGTCCCTGTTCCTGGAGCACAGCCCGACCCTCCAGGCTGTCCCCTCCTGTCAGGGGCTGTGCAGAGCCACAAGGGCCCCCTGAGCCTCCTTTGCTCCAGGCTGAGCCCTTTCCCAGCTCCTCTCCAGCCTCAGTCCTTCCCCAGCTGCCCCTCACAGGAGCTCCAGACCCTGACCAGACTCTCCTCTGCAAGGCCCATCCCAAATACCTGCTGCAGCTTTGATGTAACTCAGGGAGCTCCTCACATTTCTCTTGTGGATCACCCAACACTTGGCAGCAGAACCTTTATTTGAGGATGTGGCCTTTCAAGAGTTGTGAACAATCCCTGTCTTTGTGTGGCTCCCTCAGAGCTCTGTGCAGAGGTGGGGGTTGTGTTACAACCAGGAGTAAAACTCTCTCCAGGCAGCACAGAGCATTCTTTGTGTAACAGCTCCCTGGGACTCAGGGCCTGGATGTTCTGTGCTGCCAGTGAGGTCCTTGGGCTCAGTCCAGTCAGACGAGTGGCCAGACTGAACTCTGTTAATTAGTGACTCCAATCACTGATTAACAAAGCTTAAAGAAAAAGAAAGGGAGGACTGATGGCCCAAAAGGCCAGCCCCTGCCTTTACCTGGCTGCTTTCTTGGCCCTGAGTGTCACAGGGTCTGATCATGGTGATGGTTTTATGCTCTGAGGTAGCTGTGGCAGGAGGCTGAGGCAAATCACAGAATCAGTCCCAGGCTGCTCTGGGGTGGGAGGGACATAAAACTCCTCCAATGCCACCCCTGTCATGGCAGGGACACCTCCCACTGTCCCAGGGTGTCCCAATGTCCAGCCTGGCCTTGGGCACTGCCAGGGATCCAGGGGCAGCCGCAGCTGCTCTGGGCACCTGTGCCAGGGCCTGCCCACCCTGCCAGGGAACAATTCCTCCCCAATACCTCAATATCCCATCCATCCCTGCCCCCTGGCAGTGGGAAGCCATTCCCTGTGTCCTGCCTCTCCGTGCTCTTGTAAACCATCTCTCTCCATCTTGCAGGCTCCCTTCACATTCTGTTTGCTTTGCTATGCAAGCACAGTTCATGGGGGCCAATCTTCTTTTCCTTCTCTCCTCCTTGAGCCTCCTGGTTGTGAGCAGGAGGCAGAGTCCTTCCAGAACCCCAAAACCAGAGTGCCTGCACTCACAACTCCCTGGGACAGCACAGAGCTTTGATGCCTGAGTTCAGATTCCTCTGGTGGAGCTGCTGAGCAGAACTGCAGCTCACTGAGCCCCAGGGAAGCTCAGGCTGGTTGCTCTGTGTGTCAGGGAGGTTCTCCTTGTCCTGACCTGTCCCTGTCCCTGTCCCTGTCCCTGCAGGCTGGCAGGAGCTGCACCGTCATCGGGGGCTCGGGGTTCCTGGGGCAGCACATGGTGGAGCAGCTGCTGGCCAAGGGCTACAGCGTCAACGTCTTTGACATCCAGCAGAGCTTCCAGAGTGAGCAGGTGACCTTCTTCCTGGGAGACCTGTGTGACAAGGAGGTGAGCAAGGAACAGGGGCACGTGCAGGCCTTGCACTTTTCCTTGGAAGCCTCTGAAGGAAACACATCTGGTGTCTGATGTCTGGATTCTGCTGCGAGCTGGAAGGAGCAGGACTGTGATGGTGTTCACAGGGGTCTGAGGGTGAGGGAAGAGATGAGGAGCTGACTCCATGTTTCA